AACTCAAACAGTTTGCAAACTTTGAAATCAAATCAAACCAAACTTATAATTAAGATTTGAGTTTGGTTTGAGTTTGATTTGAGTTTGAAATTAGTAAAAATTTGAGTTTGAGTTTGGTTGATTTGAAGTTTGATTAAACTCCAAACTCAAATCTCGGAACACTAGGTAACCTACTTAAATAGATAACCAGAAATTGTACATGTAGCTAGTTGTACTTTTATTATAATCTGAAATAATACTTCTAATAAAAAGATATAATTAAAGAGATTACCTTAATTCTTAAAATAATAATAATAATTTTTAAAAATTTTTTTAATAAAGTTAATAAAACAAATCTAAAATTAAATATTTTACTTGAAAGATACAGTATATACAGTAGCTAAAATTTTATAGCAAATTTGCCTGCGTTACAAATTAAGGGATAATATGGTTATTTCGAAGGGTTTTATATAAAAAATTTAGCTGTGCCAAAATGTTTGCTAAAAATATAATTTTTTAAAAATAATTTAGACCCCCATGTATAGCCATAACTAGTTAAGGCTTAATGCTAGGTTTTTCTTGCAAAAGATACATCTCTATATACTTATAAATACTTCACTTCATAGATTTAAAATTTTATTGTTTTATTAAAAATATACTAAAATAGTTTAATTAGGTGAAAAATTAAAAAATCATGTATGTACAAAATTTCACAAATCCTTTACTGTATTTACTAATGTTAATTTCCTCATTTTCATTATCAATGACTCTTGCATATGCTCTCAAACCAGATGCTAACAAAACAGTAGTATTGGTGCTAGATAATTTATTGAGCTGGATTTGTTGTGACTAGATACTAACAATTGATTTTTACGCGTATATGCCCATTCTTTGACAATTTAGTTTACAGTTATCTATACAATTACGGATTTGCTTTGTTTAAGTTTGGGAGGTAATTTTCAATTACTGTATCTCTTTTATAAGGCTGTAAGGGGTTCTATATATTGCATAAACTAGAAAACAGGTGCTGAAATACTATAGTGATTTGCCGGCGTTGATGCTTATTGTTTGAAGTATCTTTTTGATACATCACTATCGAATAAAAATATATTATAAATATACCATAGGTCAATAATGATACTTATTGTATGGTTCAACCCTGTGCTGAAGCCAAAAATTTCATTACAGTAAAAAAAAAAATTGCGATGATAATCTGATCTAAAAATAGATGCGGACATAAACAAAATCTGGTCTATGACTACACCATTAAGTCCTCGCACAATTATATTTTTGATATAGATCTATATATAAAAATCCACCTAACTGCTTCCCCTTTTATAAGTTAGTCGAGCACTATAACATCATTTAAGTTCTGCGAGCGTTTATTAATTTGTTTTAATGTTTGTTTGATCTCATTATCCAACGTCGCATTACTTGGATCAAATTTTTTTGCCTCATAGAAATCATCAAGTGATTTTTCATACTTGCCCATCCGATAATAAGCCATTCCACGATTAGTTAATGCATTTACATTACTTGGTTTGAATTCTAATGATTTATTGAAATCTTCAAGTGATCGGTTATATTCTTTCATCCGATAATAAGTTATTCCACGCTTATTTAATGCGAGAGCATTATCTGGTTCTATTTCTAATGACTTATCTAAATCAACAAGTGATTCTTCATATCTTCCCATCTCCTGATAAGTTAATCCACGATTATACAACGTTGTAGTATTATTTGGCACTATTTCTAATGACTTATCTAAATCTGAAAGTGATTCTTCATATCTGCCCATTTCACAATAAACATTTCCACGATTATTTAACGTGAGCGCATTATCTGGCTTGATTTCTAATGACTTATTGAAATCTGCAAGCGATTCTCCATATCTTTCCATTTCTTGATAAGTTAATCCACGATCATTTAACGTGAACGCATTGTCTGGCTCGATTTCTAATGATTTATTGAAATCTGCAAGTGATTCTTCATACTTTTCCATCTCTTGATAAGTCAATCCACGAATACTAAATGTTATGGCATTGTTTGGACTGATTTTTAATGACTTATTTAAATCTGCAAGTGATTCCTCATGTTTGCCTAAGTGCCGATATGTTGTTCCACGATTATTCAATGTAGTTGCATTATTTGGGTCAATTTCTAATGATTTATTTAAATATTCAAGTGATTCTTCATATTTGCCCATTCGTTGACACTCTAATCCACGATCATTAAATTTCATAGCATCATTTGTATGTGAAATTTCGTATTTGTCGATGTCACTTAAATTAATAAGTGATCTTTCATTTAAGTCATATGTTATAGCATCGCCTGAATTGGTTCCAAATATTTTATCTAAACCTGCAAGCGATTCATTCAATTCTTTAAAAAGCAAATTACTAGTTTGTGAAGTACATGGACTCTGAGAAAAATCAATTTTAATTTGATTTAAATCCGAATAAACTTTTTGAATAGTTGGGCGTCTATCAGGATTAGCCTGCCAACAATCTTTAATTTAAAAAAAAATTAACACAATTTTTGTGGATTTAAAAAATCACTTTAAAAACTTTTTGTACCTTTATAAATCTTAGCATATGCTGGTGGGGTTCCTTCAATTTCTTTTTCTCGTTCGCCATTCATAATATTTAAAATCAATGGAATTTCACCATCATTCTTAAAGGGAGGAAAACCACTAGATATTTCCCAAATAAGGACACCAACACTATATATATCTGATTTTTTATCAAATCTAAATTTTTTTTCATTTTCATTCCTTTTCCTTTTTTTTGGATCAAAACTTTGTGGATCTATATATGGAACAACTCCACGAAGATTTGAATTTGAGCTTGTAATCTCATCTAATCTCTTTGAAAGTCCAAAGTCTGCAAGTTTAATATTCCTTTGATGAATAAGTATATTATTTGAATGCTATTTAAGTATTTAGAAAATAAAGTTAGATTAATATACAACGTTTGTGTCCGAAGAAATACTCTGCTTGCTCCGGACAATGAAAGTGATACCAAAAAGTTTATCACCACAATATTTACCATTATTCGCAATATGAGCAATAAAATCGCTTAATAAACTATGGTGATAAACTTTTGATTCATTTTATATATTTTATGAAAATTACCAGATCACGATGCACAATTTCTTCAGCATGCAAACATCTAATTGCGTCGGCAATCTGCAAAGAGAGATTAATTTTATCGACCCAGGAGAGATGTCTAAAGTAATTTTGTAAATAAGATCTTAAAGTTCCATCTTCGGCATATTCAAGAACAAGCATGTAATTAGTAAAGCTCGAGTTTGTCTTATCTGTAAATTATATAAATAAGGTTAATAAATGTAGTATGCCAAAAAGAGAAATAAATATAGTAACTATATAAATAAATTAATTATGTAGCCTTACCTTCTTTTTTGGTAACACCAAGTAGACGAATAATATTAGAATGTACATTTACTTTGCGATGTAGTTTAAGCTATGCGTTCGTATTTTATTATATTAGCATGGATACAAAATTTAATTATGAAGAATAAGCAATTACCTCATTAACAACTTCTTTCACAATGTTTTTCTTTTTAAACAATTTTAGTGCAACAGTAGCTTTATCATTCCCTAAAACAGCACGGTAAACATCACCATATCCTCCAGTTCCAATGAGTACAATGTCTCTAAAGTTAGAATATTTATAAAATTCAATAGATTCATCAGTAAGACATTTTTGAATTAATTCCTCAGAGCGATTCATAGTTTAGGATAGGAATTTTACATTTTGGCACTTGCATAAATATGAGACTTTATTTAACGTCGTATAGAAAACATTAAGTGACACAATATCTAAAAGTATTCATAATGGACATTAGAATATGAAATAACATAACATACAGCATGACCGTAACTAGGGATAGCTACCAATTTTACTCGAATTTATAAATTATAGGTATTTTCGGAATTCTGTGAATCTGTCCATACAAAACACTAGAGTAAGTCATAAGTAGAGATTGCATCCGTTGGGAAAACCTCTACCCAGGTATTATTAATTATCCGGATAAATTACTATGTTACATAACGATAATAGCAATTTTCTACCCGGGTACAATCCCTAGAATTATTGACCGAATTTTAATTTGGGCAGCAAATGGTAATATATATATAGTTAGTTAATGCTAGATTAGATAATATATTATAGATTCGTCAAATTAATTACATGATGGCTAAGCCGAATTTCCGAAAAATCGACCGACTTAGCCGATTAAGCTATCGGCTTATAACGTAATAGGTGAATCTGTGCCTAGTTTGTTGATTTTTTATTGTATATAACATAAAATATCTAACCAAACTTGTTGCTATTTAGCGTTAGATAAGCAATTTAAGCAAAGATATCTCAATGACAATCTAACCAAACTCGATTAAAATTTAATTCTATGTAGAAGTCAAATAAAAAAAATCGTGTTATCAAGATATCCACTCAAAATTCAAAAAACACAAATATAGAAGTTACGATAAATTTTATTGAAACTTTTAAGCGAAGATATCTCGGCAACTACTGAATGAAAATTTTTTTATATATTTATAGAATTCAAAATAAAATAAAAAATTGCCAAATTTGGTTGGGTGATCTTTGCTCGAAAATTTAGAAAAAAAATTTGACGTAGCTCCCATTTTGATAGACATTTTTAAACTTTTTATAATTTCGACAACCGCCTGATCAAATTTATTAAAAAAGTTTAAACGAAATTTTGCGTAATTTCTATTTTGATAAACATTTTTGTATTTTTGATACTTTAAGTGAAGATATCGCGGTTGCTTAAATTGAAAAAAATATCTAATAGCAACAAATTTGATTGGTTAGATGTTAATGTTACACGTAGAAAATCAACAAACCAGGCATAACAGCACAGAAGTTAAAACGTTTTCTACGGAAATTTACAAAATAAACGAAATAAGAAAAAAAAGGGTTATTACAAGCGACTCATTCATAAAATCCCCTTATTGTTGTATACATTTCTTAAAATATATTGTATACTGTATATGATTTTATGATTTCTAAAAATCATTGTGTATATAGTAATGATGGGTGACGCAACCACGTGATGCTAATTGTCACATGTTATTACTTATAAAAAATCAAATATTTTATAAGTAAAAGCATGTGACAATTAGCATCACGTGGTTGCGTCAACCATCATTAGTATATAGCGCAACAATAAAGTGATTGTAATAAACAGAGAAAGTGAAATGCCTGTAGATAGGTAGATGAATAAAATCTAAATATCAGATAATGACAATATGCTAATACTTATTCCGAAAGCACTAGTTCAAAAAGGGTTGATTTTATTGTAGGATCTCGAGCCAATTTATAAAAATAATTGGATTATGAAAGATTGTCATTAATGTTTGATAAATCAAATGAAGATATTCTCATGAACGAACAAGAGAACGTATTACCACAAATAAGTGGTAATAGCACTTTAAAAGGTAAACCTTTAATAGTTGGGAATACATGTCCAACATGTTCCTGGTATTATCCTCAATAGATCAAATAGATCAACAAAAAAGATGAACATAAAATTATCGTTATTGAAGCAATTCCATGTAAGGATTATATATATTTTTTTAAAAAAACTTGCTTTAAATAAGATCATGTGTTATAACCGGAAAACACATTAATTGAAAAGGCGTAACGGTCAATAGTAAAAAAGCTTAGTGTGTTTGGATCTCGAATACAAATTATAAAAATAATAGACCTTGTAACCTATCTGTGGCGAAATGCGGTAACTGATTAAATTGGCTTGAAATGGTTTACCAAATAACCAATTAGTCGACTGAAACTGGTTTAAATATCCAAATAACACAATTTTAACCGGCGCTAACCTATATCTCAGAATCAATTAACAATTTTTTTTCTACTACCTAATGAAGTTTTTCGATGCCATCACGTGTTCGAAAAACCTCCTTCTGTTAAACGAATTTCATGAAATTAAATTATACGTAATCGTGTAACTAACGATCTAACGCTAAAAATATTTATTCCATTTTTGTTGTCTTTTATATAGAGTTATTATACGTATAGAGTGTATATAATGAATTAACAATTTTATTTGGTTGTGCATGATATTCACTGAATAAGTCAACCTTTCACATGATGTTATGTTCGGGCATCCCGTGTTAATCAATGCAAATATATAAAAGATAACGCACGATAAAAAAAATCTATCTATTTCATAAAAATGTGTGGAATTTTTGCATATCTTAATTTTCTTAATGTTAAGGATAGAAAGACGATTATTGATATCCTTATAAATGGGTTGGCACGTCTAGAATATCGTGGTTATGACTCGGCAGGTTTGGCCGTGGACGGCAATGATTCAACTGAAGTACTTCTCTTTAAACAAGTTGGAAAAGTTGCTGCCTTGAAAAAATTAGTGTCAGAGCAAACTGTTGACTTTGAAAAAGAGTTTGTTAATCATTGTGCTATGGCTCATACTCGCTGGGCCACTCACGGTCAACCTTCAATGACTAATTCACATCCTCAACGTTCTGATCCCAAAAATGAATTCACCGTGGTTCATAATGGCATTATCACCAATTATAAAGAAATAAAAATCCTTCTTGAAAACAAAGGCTATCGTTTTGAATCTGATACTGATACTGAAGTTGTTGCTAAACTCGCAAAGTATTTGTATGATACTCGAAATCCTAATCAAGGATTAAGTTTTACCGCGCTTGTCAAAGATGTTGTTAAAAAATTGGTAAGATTCTTACTTATGCTGTCTTATTATACCTATTATACCTAATTCATTAATTTGAATTCATTTTTTAGGAAGGAGCATTTGCCTTGATCTTTAAGAGTATTCATTATCCACAAGAAATGGTAGCTACACGACGCGGGTCTCCTCTTTTGGTTGGTGTTAAAACTGCGAAAAAATTAAAAGTAGATTTTGTTGATGTCGAATTTAGTACAGGTAAACAATTAATTAATTAATTATATAAAGTTAACCATTTTCAACAATCTAATTAAATAATTTCTATTCTAATTTTTTGAAAAAAAAAAGAGGAAAAACTTCCAGTTCCAGAGTCAGGAAACCTATTGGCTTCAGGAAACCTATTGGCTCCTCCTACAGATAATGTACCAAGACTCAAACATAGTCAATCGCGCACTTTTCTTAGCGAAGATGGACTTCCTCAACCTATTGAATATTTCTTGGCGTCTGATCCATCCGCTGTTATAGAACACACAAAACGTGTCCTTTATCTTGAAGACGATGATATTGCTCACGTTAGTGAAGGAGGTTTGTTCGCTGATCATAATATATATTTATTGATTATATAGAACTTAAACGTAAATATTAAACACGCACTTTTTCAATAGAATTACATATTCACCGTTTAAAGAGTGATGACGGAAGATCAGCTGTTCGTTCTATCCAAACCTTGGAATTAGAATTGGCCAAAATTATGAAAGGTTCTTTCGATCATTTTATGCAAAAGGAAATTTTTGAACAACCAGAATCAGTGGTCAATACTATGCGTGGCCGTGTCAACTTTGATTCTCATAAGGTTACCCTTGGCGGTCTTAAAGTATATTTGGCAACAATTCGAAGATGTAGACGTATAGTATTTTGTGCCTGTGGTACAAGCTACCATTCGTGTGTGGCTGTAAGTATATTTAATTATCAATATTTCAGGAAAATATTAAAATAACAAATATCTTTATTAGACCAGAGCTATTTTCGAAGAATTAACGGAAATTCCTGTTTCTGTGGAGCTAGCTAGTGATTTTTTGGATAGAAAGACTCCTATATTCAGAGATGATGTTTGTGTTTTTGTATCACAGTCTGGAGAGACAGCAGATACCATACTTGCTTTACGATATTGTCTCGAACGTGGTGCTCTTTGTCTTGGTATAACAAATACTGTTGGTTCAACTATCTCGCGTGAAACACATTGTGGTGTCCATATTAATGCTGGTCCTGAAATCGGTGTTGCATCTACTAAGGTATATAAACGTTTAATTTTATAATAAAATTATGTTATTACTAACTTTGATATATAATTTTATTTTACTAGGCATATACTTCTCAATTTATTGCTTTATTGATGATGGCTATTCAATTGAGTGAAGATCGTACATCCATGACACAGAGACGAAATGATATTATTGAAGAACTTAAGAAGCTGCCAGAATATATTAAACAAGTTCTCAGTATTGACAATGAACTAAAACAACTTGCTAAAAATGATCTTAATAAAGAAAAAAGTCTTTTGATTATGGGTCGTGGTTTCCAAAATGCTACTTGCTTAGAGGGAGCTTTGAAAATAAAGGAAGTTTCATACATGCATTCTGAAGGTATTTTAGCTGGTGAATTGAAACATGGACCTTTGGCACTTATCGATTCGGATATGCCTGTTATTCTTATTATGACTAAGGATTCTTTATACCCTGTAAGCCTTTTTTTAACTCGCATTATTTGAGAGAGACGTATTATTTATATTTTTTGCGTTTAATTAACAGAAAGTGCAGAGCGCACTTCAACAAGTCACTGCTCGCAAGGGTAAACCGATTATTATCTGCAATGAAGGTGATGATGGTATAGAAATTCATTATGAGAAAATTCGTGTACCCCAAACTGTAGACTGCCTACAAGGTATTCTTACAATAATTCCTTTGCAATTACTGGCTTATCATTTGGCTGTATTGCGTGGAATTGATGTCGATTTCCCTCGGAATTTGGCTAAATCTGTAAGTATCAGTTGAATGTTCACGTTAAACATCTCCACATTAATTGGCATCCTACCTTATTATTAACAAAAAATAATCCTTTTAGGTAACGGTCGAATAATTTCAAAGTTAATATATGGTTGTCTTAAAATAATGTAAATATTATGGCATTACCTGCCTTATATATATATTTTTTCTCAGTTCTATTTAACTTGATTTCCAAGCAAATTAGGTAATTTGCTTAACAAATTTGTTTCACATATTTACAATCATGGACTTTATTGATTCAATGGGTTGGATTCTTAAAAGAATTTATGTATTATTTATTTATTTATTGATTGATTGATTGATTGATTTATTGATTTATTTATTTGTTGATTTGTTGATTTATTTTATTCTTTTCAATAAAAGAATTATGGATTACTATTTCAATGTTGTATTTTGAACACCGCCTGTTATTTATTCATAGTTTGTCTCAAAACTTTTACTCATTATAAATGAAATTTTCGTTGTTAGTTATTAGGATTTATCTTCGAATTCGGATGCACTTTTACGCAGTTTGCACTTATCAGTATCAACTTGTTCATTCCAGCGTTCCATTCTAATTCGTATTTGAAAGTTCAAAGCAAATATATAATGATCAATGATTGAGCCAATAGGTACATGACAATAAACTATAAATAGTGGAAACTAAGATAATTGCAACCATTTGGTTCAATTAAACCAATTTCAGTCATCTGCCGCAACCTAAAGTAATCATGACCACTGAATACAAAGTGAGTCAAAGGAAGGATCCAATAATCTACTCTTCATAGAATCGTCCTTATGGATTTTGCTACAATGTGTGAATTTGGAAAATTATACAAATTTGATTTTTCCTCAGCATGTATTGAATAGGTGAACCAATTAATACCCTTGTTTTTCTTTGGTTATTGTGGTAGAGTTGTTCATAAATGAAATTGATCAATTCTTTAGGTTGATGACAAAGTTTTACCAATTAGTATCAACATTGTTACACGTGTAAATATAATTATTCTCAAATCATACTAAGGCGAATTCTTTTATTTGATTTTATATAAATCAGATAGATTTTCTTGAAAAGATTCTAAAACTTTATATATCAAGAGGTATGTTTTAATATGTATATTTTATTATTACTTAAATAGAAACGCACCATTATTGAACAGAACAAGAAAATACATTTATTATTTTTTTTGTCTATAAATGGTTGCAAGATTAAAAATAGATCTGGTTTTTATCAAAATCAGTATCTGGCATTAGCAAAAGTTACAGGACCCATATTTCAATAGATATTTGAAGTTTTGGGTAGTATTTACTTTTGCACATTCCGATTTATATGATCATTTAATGCTAAAATATATTATTCATTTATAACTAGGGTTTTATTTGAAATATTATTCATAGTTATACAAATCCTGTGTCTTTTAATTTATTAAGTGCTATAAGATCCGTTTCAAACTACCACAACCCTTTTGACAATTTGCTGATTTGAATTTGCCAATAATGTGAAACGAATCTTCAAAGTTTTCAGCGCCTTGGCAAACTCAAGATAATTTAAGATTGGCTCTTCACAAATTGTTCTGAAATTATTCTATAAAAAGTTATAGCTAAATACCGATAATTAAGATTTATTTGCACATGAGTATTGTCTTTTATGTACGCAATTTAATTCACAATCTATACATTTACAGTTCCCTTATGTGATTCAAATATTACAGGCTTTGAGCAGGTTGTTAAAAGTTTAATATTGTTATTGGTAACCCGTAAAATTTGAATCTCAAACACTTTCCAAATGTATAGGATTATGAATTACAGACTTTCTATTCGACATAAAATATCATAAATTATTAGACGATTATTCGGATCTAGATCTCTTCTTTCAGGCTTATAATTTGTTGAATTTACGAATACAGGGACTTATAATAGATCATTCACAAAGGTGCTATGATATCAGAATGGATGTGGTGATGACAGTTTTCTATTTTATTTTATTTTGAATTAATTTAATAATTTTATCTAGTGATACGTGCAGAGCTATGTAACGCATCTAAGTTTATTATCGCCCTTTATAGATCGGAAGCCTTTTTTCTTTAAAAGCCTTCAATCCTACAAATTAATAGGAAGTGAATAACAAAATTATAATTCGAATGGCTCAAATTTTTATAATATTTTTACCTTCGATCCTATCTTCAGTTGGAATAACTTGTTCATAACAAGCGTTTTCAAATTCTAAAGCTGAATCTCTACACCATCAAAAATATAACAATATAAGTTATTCTTAAAGTATAATCAGAAAACATAAAAGAATACTATCACATACAAATCTAACTGACTACCCCGGTCAATAGCTAATTTTGCCATTCGAAGAGCAATAGGACCTTATTGTAAGAAATATATAATGGTTAACAAAAATAAATGAAAATATTACCGTAAAAATCGGAATAAAAATACCGCTTGGCAAAATCTCTCTGGCTAATTTAAGCGCAATCGGATACGATGATCCTTCCTGTGCACAATAGTTTACAATTCCTTAAATATAAAAATTTTTTTGTTGTTAGCAATATAACAAAGACATGTGTGAATGTCTAATAATAAAAAAAACATACCAAGATCCAATGCATCTTTAGGACTCAACATACGGCCTGTATAAATCAATTCCTTAGCCTTTGCAATTCCAATTACTCGTGCTAATCGTTGTGTTCCTCCAGCCCTGGAATTAAGAAATGAATTTAACATGTGTAAATAATTTTTAATAATTAAATTTTGAATAATTACCCAGGAATAATGGCTAGCTTCGTTTCTGGAAGTCCCAATTTAGCATTTTCACCTAAAAAACAAATGAAGAAATTAGTCAAGATAAGTTTGAATGTTGTTTGTGGAATTTGTGGAATTTATAAATACCAGAAACTCTTAAATCGCAACAAAGCGCCAATTCAAGACCTCCACCCAAGGCTACACCATCGATTACGGCAATTGTTGGAATTGGGAGTGTCTAGAGTTATCATCAAAGATTCGAATAATTTATAAATTGTCATGGGCTTCTTAAGAGTGAAGAACATACTTCAAGTTCACGAAATGTTCGTCTTAGGTTATGAATAAACTTTGTCACATCTGATGGAGACATGCCAGCACGCTCCTATAATAAAAGTGTTAATAAATGATTATATCCATCTACATGGTGAAATTATATCGTACCTTTAAATCTGCTCCAGAACAGAATGCATTATTAACAAGACTCCTTAGTAAAACAACACGACTGCTACTACAAGTTAATTTAAAATAATAAGCTTTTTGATAAACAATTGTAAAATCTTATCCAAGCAATTAATCACTTTTAACATACGATTCATTTCGTATTTTTCCTATTGCATCATAAAATTCCATCAAAAACTTGTGCGATATCGCATTTTTTGTGCTTGGTCGATTTAGATTTATAATTGAGATGCCTTGTAAAGCGAACGAAAATGATATTTTTGTATGTTTTTTATTTTTATTTTTTTACTAATCATTAAACTATTCCTTCAGTTAAATTCAAACCTTTATCTTCGTCCTCTAGATTTTCGATAAAACATTCCTTATCCTCCTGGATATTTGCATGAAGATTTCGCTGCAAAAAGCGTCTCTTATAATCAAAAGCTTTTCGAACACTTGAGCACAAAAGTAATCTCATTCTTAAAATATTTGAAAGATTAAAAAATGCGTCTTACAAACGTTAATTTAATTAGCCTTATCGGTCAAGTGTAATGTCAAAAAAATTTTCATTGTAATGATTTAATTAAGGGATCTGCAAGTTGCAGCACATATTTGCACTTCTAACATTTGTATCATTCTTTATTATAACAAAAAAATTTAATTATTTCATATTTTTATACTATCTATGTTTTTTTCCTTTTACGCATATCTTTGAAAATGGCGTTTTGAGATTTTCAACGAAATCAAACTCGAAATTTGATTGGTTGGCACTCACGTTATTATCTACATAAATTTAATCTTTTGCTACACATTTAACATTTAATTACTCTCATCTATCTATTTTGTTGAATATATATTGAGTTGTCATAACCCATTTAAAGATCTAAACTGAATTCGCTTTCAAGATACGTTCGAACCCAATCATTGCTTAGATTTATTTTACATATTTTTAACATATTCTCTTGATAATGGCTAAATGGCATTTAAATTTCATTTAGAAAATGTAAATAGGTTAGTTTCACTTTATTTTTATTTTCTAACTACCGAAAATCGCCGGATACAAGACCCGGGTCTCTTACATTCCACCAATTTTAAATCCTATTATAGACCCCGGGTCTAGTATGCAGCCGAGAGTTCATGTCACTAAGAGGAAAACTTTGAAGAGTATGTGTGTTTTGCATTTATAGTAGACAATCCAGATATTTGAAAAAACCCATGTTTGATTAATATAGATCTCATGATACGCATCCGGGTATACTACATGGTGGGTCTATTATCATGGGGGATCTTGTATCCGGCGATTTACGGTAGATATTATCTTATCACAGTTTCGAGATAAAATATAATTTTGATTTTGATTATACTAGAGAGCAAGTACTGTTGAGGTCCGGAACATTAATACATAGATTTTAATTTTATAGGTTTTCTTTAAAATATTCATATCATTTAAAATAACGAGACTACCACCAACAACAGTAATAAAGATAATTTTAATATTTATTATTTCAAACACTCTACCCTCGTTATAACGGACCCCAATATAACGGATACCTTATTATAACGGAATAATTTTCTAAAACAATTTAAAATTATTATTATTATATTATACATCATTATAACGGATATTCATTTATTATGGATATAATCTTTCAGCCCGAAGGGTCCGTTATAGCGAGGGTAGAGTGTATCTTTATTCTCTTTAGGCACATACATTCATGAAGGCATATAACAATTGTTGAATTATTGTAGCATGTCAATAATAATAGAATGCTCTCAATTCAATAACATCCTTTTACTTGATTTAATAATCTAAATACAATATAAAAATAAGCAATAGATTTGATTAGTTATAGGTAAATCAAATATTACTTACCGTCGGGAACTTCAACACAATCAATAGGTCGACTTTCTAAAATACATACATATAAATATACTAAAACTACAGTTTGAATTCAATTTGTGAAGTACCTGCATTTACTATATTGACAGATTCGGAATTTTTACAATTGATAACATATTACAATACTAATTTTTTAAAAATATGAATAAATTGTTATTACCTGGTTTAGGAAGTTTGGAAAATTTCAAAAATCGACTTGTATAAATAGCTTGTGGATTTGTCTGATATTTGAATTGTGCCGATCTGATTTGATCATGTGTTAAGAAATCATTGTCCAAGCCTTTAATATTTTTAACTAGTTCATATAATTCAGATTTTTCATCTTTTAAATCTCTAAAAAATCGATTAAATGTATTAGCCAATTCTTCAGCAGTTGGCCTGTTTTGAGGTTCTGCGTCTAAGCATTTATTAATCAGATCCAAAAGTAATTGAGGAACTTCGCATCTAATTTTAGGTCTGTATCCTAGACAAATACGTGTTGCCAGCTCTTCGTTGTGTGGAATATCATGATATGGAGGATATCCAGTAAAAACTTCAGACATAATTATTCCGAAAGAATAAATATCTGATTTTTGAGTGTATTCCTTCCCGTTTGTATATAATACTTCCGGAGCAATATAGGGAAGCACACCAAAAAGTGTTTTAGAACTTGAGTCTTGTGACACTGGCTTACATAAGCCAAAATCAGTAATGTAAGAATTAAACATATTTTGATTAACCATATTTCCAGAATGAAAATCTTTATGTACTAATTTGGCACTGTAAATTATATAAAGCCCTCTAGCTATGTGATATAAGTTAGATACTTTAGAATCCCAATCTAATTCACCAAATTTACTATCTAACAATTTTCTGAGACTTCCCAGCTTTGCATACTCCATAACCATCATGTAGTTACCATCTTTTGGGTTCTTTGCTATTCCATAAATCGGAATTGCCGAATCGCCCCCATGTTTATGTTGGTTTTTAACCTAATAAAGTATTAATTAGGATAAATAATATTACTATACTTTAATAAAAACAAATTATAATACTTACTTCTTCTAAAAATTCTTGTTTTATATCTTTAGAATTATCAAGAACTTTTAAACAAACATCTATTTGCCCCTTTCTCCTCCATTCATTTTCTGAATAATCGAATCCTGTAATATATCCATCAATCCATACTGCCTTAAAAACGGTGCCAAAGCCTCCTTTAGCAAGATACTTTATATTTGCAAATTTGTTAAAGGATATCCATTCAATAATTTCATTAAATTTTATTGCATCAAGTTGTGTTTGTTGAATTAATTGATCAATATCGTGATTTTCACTTGTCCAATTATGAAATTCTTTTTTAAATCTTAATATTAAACCATAATTAATACAGTATAATAATGATCAAGAGCTAAAATGACTAATATATACCGCATATCATGAGTTAACGTATAATTAATTATTGCATCAGAATTATCGATATTTTTGATTTGCTGTAAAAAATTCAGTTACTGTACTTACACGCTACAGTGATGCAAGTGATTTAGATATGGTTATTTTAGGTTTGCATTGGAATGAACGTGATTTATATAGTGATTTACTGTAAAAAATTCTGGTTTACTGTACTTACTCGCTATAGCGATACAAGTGATTTGGATATGGTTATGTTGGTTTTGTATTGGAATGAAAGTGATTTCTATAGTAATTGCTGTAAAAGATTCTGGTTTACTGTACTTACTAACTATTTTGGTGATACAAGATTTAAATATGTTATGTTAGTTTGTGTTAGTATTAACGTGATTTCTATAATGATTTACTGTAAAAAATTCTGGTTTACTGTACTTACGAGCTATAGTGATAAAGTGATTTGGATATGGTTATGTATTAGAATGAACGTGATTTCTATAGTGATTTACTGTAAAAAAATTCTGGTTTACCGTACTTACTCGCTACAGTGATACAAGTGATTTAAATATGGTTGTGTTGGTAATGAACGTGATTTCTATAGTATTTACTGTAAAAGTTTCTGGTTTACTGTACTTACTCGCTATAGTGGTACAAGTGATTTAGATATGGATATGTTAGTCTTGTATTGGAATAAACATAATTTCTATAATGATTTACTGTAAAAAATTCTGGTTTACTGTACTTACTAACTATTGTGGTGATATAATATTTAGATATGGTTGTTAGTTTTGTGTTAGAATGAACGTGATTCTATAGTGGTTTACTGTAAAAAATTCTTACAGACTATTACGGTGGTACAAGTGATTTAGATATGGATATGTTAGTTTTGTATTGGAATGAACGCGATTTCTATAGTAATTTATTGCAAAAAATTCTTACCGACTATTGTGGTGATAATACAAATGATTTAGATATGGTTATGTTAGTTTTGTATTGGAATGAATGTAAAAATTTCTTGTTTACTGTACTTACTCGCTATATGATACAAGTGATTTAGATATGGATATGTTAGTTATGTATTGGAATGAACGTGATTTCTAGTGATTTACTTAAAAAATTCTGACCGACTATTGTGGTGATATAAGTGATTTAGAATAGTGATTTACTATAAAAATTCTGATTTACTGTACTTACTCGCTATGGTGATACAAGTGATTTAGATATGGTTATGTTAGTTTTGTATTGGAATAAACGTGGTTTCTATAGCGATTTACTGTAAAAAATTCTTACCGACTATTGTGATGATACAAGTGATTTAGATATGGTTATGTTAGTTTTTATCGGAATGAATGTAATTTCTATAGTATTTACTGTAAAAAATTCTTACAGGCTATTGTAGTGATACAAATGATTTAGATATTATGTTAGTTTTATATTGAAATGAACGTGATATTACTTAGAAAATTCTGATTTACTATACTGTACTTACGAGCTATGGCGATACAAGTGATTTAGATATGGTTATGTTTGTTTTGTATTGGAATGAACGTAAAAAATTCTGGTTTACTATACTTACGCGCTATAACGATACAAGCGATTTTGATATGGTTATGTTCGTTTTGTATTGGAATGAACGTCATTTCTAGTGATTCACTGTAAAAAATTCCGGTTTACTGTACTTACTAACTATTGTGATGATACAAGTGATTTAGATTAGCTTTGTATTAGAATGAACGTGATTTCTATAGTGATTTACTGTAAAAAATTCTGGTTTACTGTACTTACTCGCTATAGTGATACAAGTGATTTAGATATGGTTATGTTTTATATTGGAATGAACGTAATTTCTAGTGATTCACTGTAAAAAACATTACCGACTATTGTGGTGATAAGTGATTTAAATATGATATGTTAGTTTTGTATTGGAATGAACGTGATTTCTATTATGATTTACTGTAAAAAATTATGGTTTACTGTACTTCTGTACTTACGAGCTATAATGGTACGAGTGATTCAGTTATGATTATGTTAGTTTTGTTTTGGAATGAACGTGTTTTCTAATGATTCACTGTAGAAAATACTGACTTACTGTACTTACTAACTATTGTAGTGGTACAAGTGATTTAGATATGGTTACGTTAGTTTTGTATTGGAATTGATTTCTAGTGATTTACTGTAAAAAATTCTGGTTTACTGTACTTACTAACTATTGTGGTGATATAAGATTTAGACATGGTTATGTTAGTATTAACGTGATTTCTAGTAAAAAATTCTTACCGACTATTGTGATGATACAAGTGATTTGGATGTGGTTATGTTAGTTTTGTATTGGAATGAACGTGAT